ATCCGAGCATCAGTTTAATTAATACCCCCACATTTAAAGAATTTTTTTTGGCCGGAAGCCCGCCGGAAGACTACTTTCCATTAGGGTGGATTTCGTCTGGGACAAACCCCCCACATTTAAAGGAATTTTTTTTGGGGGGGTTCAAAAATCTGTCGGCAGGCTTCTTGTTTTGCTTGCGGAGACGCAAAGCTACAGCACCTCAGGGATCTGCAGCCTATTGCTTTTAATAGAGAATCAATACAGGGCCATGGTCCAACTATTGCGGAACCCTGCATTCCTTATTGTGGAGGGGGGGGGGGGCCCCCACCAATTAAACAGAAGCTCGGATTAAACCCTAAACCCTAAACCCTAAACCCTAAACCCTAAACCCTAAACCCTAAACCCTAAGGGTTGGGTGTCAAAACTGCCTGAGGCCCACCGGCTCCATGGACGACCTCTGGAGAATCCTCTCCCAGCGACCGCCGGGCGCACCCCTGCAGGGAGCTCAGCAAGATCTGGCGCAGTGATCATCTTCACGCTGTACCTCCCTAAACCCTAAACCCTAAACCCTAAACCCTAAACCCTAAACCCTAAACCCTAAACCCTACACCAGAGACCCTAGACCCTCGACCCTAAGCCCTGATAGGTTTCGTAGTGTCGGATTTGCACAGCAAGGAATCACTTCTTCTAGGTTCTGCACGTGTGCACCTGGGTCTGTGTCGGGTCTGCCTAAGCCGTTTACTCCAACCGTACGAACCCGAAGACGTTGGCACAGTTTGGGGTTTAGGGTTATTGGTTTTGTGTTTAGGGTTTGGGGTTTGGGGCTGAACCATAAAATCCTGGGTAGTAGCCTCCCTCAGCACACGCAGGGATTTAGGGTCTCTTGCGCAGCCTCTCCTCAAAAAGGGGTTTCCTTTAGGGATTTGTAAGGTTTAAGAATTGCCTCAGTCAGGCCTCACTAAACCCCAAGCCCTGCACCCTAAACCCTAGACCCTAAACCCTAAACCCTAAACTCCGCTCCTACACCGAGGAGCGTGCGGGTACTTCGGCCGGTGCCGGGGAGCATGCAGCTGAAGAGCCTCCGCCTCGGTGAAGCAGCGTGGGGCTTGAAGAATATGGGGTTTAGGGTTTAGGGTTTAGGGTTTAGGGTTTAGGGTTTAAGTTTAAATAGGGTTTTAAGCGGGAATTAAGTCGGTTGTTAAGCGGAGTTTACGTGGGGTCAAGTGGGGTGTACAAGGGTTTGCAGGATTTTCGTAGGGTTATCGAGTTTCTAAATGCTAGGTGGGACTTTACTACAACTTTAGCACTTTATGAGTTTTGGGGTTCCTTTAATTTCATATTAAGGGAGGTAGAAGTTAAACCTTTCTTAGGGGGTTAAAGAGCAACCAAGAAAGGATGGTGGAACTGGAGGGAAAGTCTAGCGTGTGTAGGGTTCAAATGGGTGGCTCATGCGTTCACAAAACTGTTTCTGACTGAGCTGTGCGGAGGTCTTCAACTGACTGTCCAGATTGAGGCCGGGTTGCAACTGATCATGCCGATGTGGCTCAAGCTGATCATCCCAAAAATGGCACTCGGCAGCCTTCCGCAGTAGCTGAGACAAGACTGGGAGCCAAGAGACCAGAAAGAGTTCCCAAGAAGCCACCGCACGACCGGCGCTCTTGAAAAATCCTAAAACCCTAAACCCTAAACCCTAAACCCTAAACCCTAAACCCTAACCCCTAAACCCTAAACCCTAAACCCTAAACCTTAAAGCCTAGACAGCGTTGCCTGTCACGAAGGTCCCTCTGAAGGTGCCTGTGAAGAAAAGCTAAGCGCAAGCCCCTCGAGACCTGCGGTGAAGTCCGACATGTTCTCCCAGGGCCCCTAAAACCCTAAAACCCTAAACCCTAAACCCTATCCCCTAAACCCTAAACCTTAAACCTTAAACCCTCAACCCTAAACCCAAACCCTCAACCCTAACCCTAGCACTAGCCCTAAAGTCACTGTAGAGCCTAGCGGCAAAAAAATCTACAAGTCCTTCGGCCTCATTGGATCTTCTGCAGCCCCTTTGAGACTTCGGAACCCATGGAAATGGGAAGACCTTAGGATTTCAAGGTTTCAGGGTTTAGGGTTTAGGGTTTAGGGTTTAGGGTTATGCCGAAACCCTAAATTCATGGAAATGGGAAGCAGGAAGACATCAAGCAACTTCCCGGTGCCGGAGGCCTTGGGCGGCGGTTTCGGTGTGTGGCTTGGGTTTGGGAGGGCTTCAAGGGGCTGATAGGATTTGTTTCGTGGGGTTTTGTCAGGCTTATAGGCGTTTGCTGGGTTTATTTAGAGGGTTTATAGGGTTCAAGGGCTTGTTGGGTTCTAAAGGGTTTTCAAGGTTTATAGGGTTCAAAGGGCTAAACCCTAAACCCTAAACCCCAAACCCTAAACCCTAACCGTTTTCAAGGCCTTTGGGGCCATCAAGGCCTCGAGCGGAGCGTGTTAGGGGTTCGGGTTTAGGGCTTAGGGCTTAGGGCTGAGGGCTGAGGGCTGAGGGCTGAGGGTTTAGGGTTTAGGGTTTAGGGTTTAGGGGGGTTGCATGCAGCTCAAGGCGTGCATGTCTCAGGAGGGAGATTCTGGGTTTAGGGTTTAGGGTTTAAGGTTTAGGGTTTCTGCAGTCCCTGCGGCAGAGACGGAGCGGCACTGACTTCCTCGGTAGGCCTTGGGGACACTGTACATGTTACCTTACTAGGTTTAAGAGGTCTATATTTAGGGTTTAGGGTTTAGGGTTTAGGGATTTTCAGAGGGGTTTAAGAGCCATCCTAGCCTCATGCATGAAAACGTTACTTTTTGGGGGCTTCCGAAAATAGGGGTGCAATTTTTTTGGGGTTCCTATATGATAAGGATTCTCGTATTTTGGGGTATACTAGGGGGACGAGGTTTTGGGAAACACCCTTGTTGGCTTTGAACTCAGAACCCTAGATTCTTGCAACCCTAAACTCTAAACCCTAAACCCTAAACCTTAAACCCTAAACCCTAAACCCTAAACCCTAACCCTAAACCCGGCAGAGAGAGAGAGAGAGAGAGAAACCCTAAACCCTAAACCCTTTTCTGTGCCAGGCCGACAGCTCCGTTCGCTGCTCGGGTAAGTGCCAAGATGTGCCAAGTGGTTTCCAGCATGAAGCAGTTTCATCATGCAGCACAACGGGTTTAGGGTTTAGGGTTTAGGGTTTAGGGTTTAGGGTTTAGGGTTTAGGGTTTAGGGTTTAGGGTTTAGGGTTTAGGGTTTAGGGTTTAGGACAACAGTACACAAAGCAAGATGCTAACATTCTCTCACGGAATATCGTAATCAAGGCCTCAGGCTACGCAACACGACAAAAGATAACCCTGAACCCCAAACCCCAAACCCCAAACCCTAAACCCTAAACCCTAAACCCTAAACCCTAAACCCTAAACCCTAAACCCTAAACCCTAAACCCATCATGGCTCTGGTCCCTCTAAGCTGAGAGGTTGGGAACGGCATTCCCCGCATTCCCAATCTGCAGGATCGCCAATGAGCTGCCCTAAACCCCAAGGCTTAGGGTTTAGGGTCTAGGCCCTAAACCCTAAACCCTAAAGTCTTTGCTGAGGGCTCGCTACCAACACTTGAGAGCCCGAAGCCGTCCGAGCTCCGCGAGCGACCTGAGAGCACTCAACGTGCAGCCCAGGTAAAGCTGGGGCTGCTGGACGCTCCAAGGCAAGGTAAGGCCCACACTGGCCGTCAAGGCGGTCGAGCCTTTGAGTGTCAAAGGTAAAGACCCTAAACCCAAGACAATTTGCTGGTGCAACCTGGCCCCCCCCCCAAGCACCGTTGCTGGTGCAACCTGGCCCCCCCCCCAAGGACCGTTGCTCGTGCAACCCGCCCCCCCCCACCAGATTTGCTGGTGCAACCTGGGGCCTCCCCCTCAAGGACCGTGGCCGGGCTCAGACCGCCCTCTGAGCCTTTTTCAAACCATTTCTTGGCTTGCTTCTCCCCGAGCGTTTCGAGCCGTTTAGGCTCCCCAGACCATTTTTGAGCCTTTTTGGGCTCCTCCTGAGACCATTCCTGAGCCTTTGCTGGGCTCCTTCCGAGCCATTTCTGGGTTTTTTTTTGGCTCCACCCGGACCATTTCTGAGTTTTTTCTTTGAGCTTCTCCCAGGCTATTTTCTGAGCCTTTCTATGCTTCTCCCAGGCCAGATTTTTGAACTTTTTGGGCTCTCCATTTCTTTTGTGTTCACAACAAAGCTTCTACAAGCCCCCCAATGAGGGGGACCCCAGGATTGGCCTGGACCCACAATGAAAATGCGAATCTTTAGTACTGAAATCGCTGGTTCTGGGAGGTTCCCGGAAGCCCTAGCAGGCCCTCACAAAGGCTTGCGGTAACCTCCAGAGGCACAGGAGGCGAGAGTCGTATCGGGACGCTGGCCCGGTCGAGGGGCAGCGCTACCCCTTCGGAAACCCAAACCAATCAGCCACCCCCACGACTTTTTCACAGCCGAGTCTTGGTCAAGGGAGAGTCGTGTCGGGACGCTGGCCCGATCGAGGGGCAGCGCTACCCCTTCGGCAACCCAAACCAATCAGCCTAGTCTTGGTCAAGGGAGAGTCGTGTCGGGACGCTGCCCCGATCGAGGGGCAGCGCTAACCCCAACTGCTTTGTGTCGATTGTTTCCGTGCTGGCAAGGGATGCCAAACGCCTTCAAAGAAGTCGAAGGGCAACGGTACCCCTACGGTAACCCAAACCAATGGGCCACCCCCACGACCTCACAGCCTAGTCTTGGTCCAGGGAGAGTCGTATCGGGACGCTGGCCCGGTCGAGGGGCAGCGCTACCCCTTCGGTAACCCAAACTGTTTTGCGTCGATGGTTTCCGTGCTGGCAAACGAGGGTCGCAGACAAGGGATGCCAAACGCCCTCAAAGAAGCACGTCGGGACGCTGGCCCGGGGGCAACGGTACCCCTACGGTAACCCAAACCAGTCTGTGAGATACATGCCAGACGCCTTCCGTGAAGGCAGATGAGGGATGCCAAACGCCTTCAAACAAGCCCGTCCCGACTTTGATGATGAAGGGCTACCCCCTCCGACCTTTCACAGCCTAGGGGCAGCGTTTTCCACAACTTCACCTCTTTGCAGCCTTGCCCCCGCGAGGCTCACGGCGCAGAAACAGCGTGCGCAGGGGCACAGCATGCCCCCGCTGGAAAAGCAAAAACAAGACTTTAGGAACTAAACCCTAAAATAAATATGCAGGGTGGCTTGGGGTGGGCCTACCGCCACGCGCTGTTGCGAGCGACCCGGGCAGAGGGGCCGGTTATAAAAAATAATGTGAGGCCCCGGAGCCCAGCGAGCAACCCAGAACGTAATACAACCTAAACCCTAAACCCTAAACCCTAAACCAACAAACCCCAGGACCATTGAGTACGACCATAAGCCCTCAGCTCTGAGTGCTGATTGCTTAGGCCGACCCTAAACTACCCCAACCCTTCTCTCATTGAAGTTGAGAAGAGGCCCCCGTGCAAACGCACTATTTATGTAAGGTTTCAGAGTCAGAACTTCAAGCACAATAATTACCATACGATACACTACAGTCTTGCAGAATAGATCATGAGAACCTGATACCCTCGGTAGGCCCCTGGGGCATTGTATATTTTCCCTTATTGGGCTTAAGAGGACTCGATTTCGGATTATTTTTCAGAGGGCTTTAAGGGCCATCCTACCCTAAACCCTAAACCCTAAACCCTAAACCCTAAACCCTAAACCGCGCAGTTCCAAGGTCTTCCAGTTCAGGAACCGCTTCGGCCGGTGAGTGGGGACTTCAAGTTTCACTGAGCTTCGAGAACTTGGAGGGCCCTTTGCGGTTGGGGTTGAGGGTTTAGGGTTTAGGGTTTAGGGTTGAGGGTTTAGGGTTTAGGGGCTTGGGGGTTTAGGGGTTTAGGGGTTTAGGGGTTAAGGGGTTTAGGGGTTTAGGGGTTTAGGGTTTAGGGGTTTAGGGGTTTACGTCACAATATATTCCATTTTACTAAGTAGATGGTGGCCGATTGTGTTATATTGTTGTGCAGCATTCTTTTCTATCAAGTAGATGATGGTGTATCGTTGGGCATTGTTAGCCCGGCTCTACTTCACGTCCCAGGGCGACCGGTACAGCACGCCACGCGCGAGCCCTGAGGTGAGCTCAAGAGAGCAGGGCGTTGGCAGAGAGGAGTCGGCTGGTGGAAGCCTGCAGAATTACAGCAAAACATGTTGCACTCATGCTCAAACAGCTAGAAAGTTCGGTATGGGACGGAGGGAACGCTGACGGAGGCGTGCCCACTTAGACTCTGATGCGCCCAATGCTGAATGAAGCTTGGGCTTCGAAGCGCGTTGATTCAATAAGGGTTTAGGTTTAGGGTTTAGGGTTTAGGATTTAGGGTTTAGGGTTTAGGGTTTAGGGAAGTCATGCAGTGCTCATGCAACGATACCTCTCTGCCCCAGTCCAGGCATAGAAACTGAACAGCCTCCACCGAAGAAAAGCTTGGCGTCATGTGCTTGGACGTATCCTCGAACGCACCAACGTGTAGCAGAGTATCGCCATCCGGGGCCCGACCTCAGGACACCCAAATGGCTTAGGGTTTAGGGTTTAGGGTTTAGGTCGGGTTCCCACCTCTGAGCGCCGTGAACCATCGTGACAAAGCAGATCATTGACGGCTCGCGAACTTGTTGCAGCACTTATTCCGATCGATTCACACACGTGCTCGGGAGTTGCGAAGCAGTGTGGCCATGGGAGGGCCATGGGAGGGTAAGCCTAAACCCTAAACCCTAAGCCCTAAACGTGTGTTTTCAAGAAGTTGCGATCCGGTGGCTTGTTTTGGCTCAGGCGCTGGCTCAGGTTTTGCTAAGCAAAGAATGTACAGGCCTACCACATGGCGTCAGCTGCCTACCACATTCAGTCATGGTGCCACGATGTCAGCTCGCAGCGTTGTTCCTGCTGCCGCTAGCGCGCGCGGCCCCGCAGCAGAGCGGTTTCGGGGTGACGTATACAGATGATGCCACGAGGCTACGAGCAGACCTGCTTCGCCAATACGACTCTGTCGTGCCGCCGCGCAGTCAGAGGACCGTCAACTACAGCAAGTCCGGCACTGATGTTGCCATGGAGATTCGCCTGTTCAAGGTTCTACGGACGGCAAGGAAGTCTTGCTTGTCTGTAGTATTTTGTACTCACCCGAAACCCTAAACCCTAAACCCTAAACCCTAAACCCTAAACCCTAAACCCTAGACCCTAAACTGAAATTCGCACGCACATCCTTGTCAGGCTTCGATGCAACACTAAGGTTCAAGGGGTTGATGCGTCCCTCGGGCAGATGCGCCTCAAGGTATGGGTGCGGATGTCTTGGCATGATATGCGACTTAGCTGGGACCCAGCAGCATACGGCAACGTCACAACTGTTCACTTCCGCACCCAGCATCCCACAAACGCGGAGAATACCGAGATTTGGCTGCCTGATATACAGCTGTGCCTGTGACTGCAGTTTCGGGATGTGTTCGCCACCGGAAATAGGCATAGTCAACCGGTTTCACTCAGCGGCATGCATACTGCAAGCTCTGAACGAGCGACGTGCTGCACATACATGATAATTCCCGAAATTAGTGGTACCTTGTTTGGGTCCTTTCTTAGAAGGGGATCCTAGGATTTGGCTGTCGATTTTAGGGTCCCCTATGTTCGTACACCCTAAACCCGAAACCCTAAACCCTAAACCCCGCACATCTTGACCGACCGATGCAAGCACAGGTACAACGCAAACATCGGCAACGAGTTTTCGTTGGAGACGGGCTTGGCATCGGCAACTTCAGATGGTCTCGTGTTCTGGAGTCGTCCCGGGTTGTTGCTGGGCGTAAAGGGTCTTAGGGGTTTAGGGTTTTGTTTCAAGGGTTTTAAGGGTGTTAAGGGTTTTAAGGGCTTTAAGGGCTTATATGGGTTTTAAGGGTTTTAGTTATAGGGGTACTGCAGGAATGTTTTGCGTCGTTTTCTGCGTCATTTCCGAAGGCAATACAGTAAACCCCAAAATGTTGGAAACCTTGTTAGGGACAAATAGTGCTGGGATTCCCTATACTCTTAGGGATTTGAGGCTATTGAGTTTCCAACTTTTGGCTTCTACTACATCAGGATTCACAGGTAGTCTATCTACAAACCTCTATCGTGGGACCCCACATGGAACTACAACCCCAAACCCTAGACCCTAAAACCTAAACCCTAAACCCTAAACCCTAAACCCTAAACCCTAAACCCTAAACCCTAAACCCTACTGAAGAGGATAGATACGCTCTGCAAGTTCTCTGGCTTGGTGGCTTTCCCTTTCGACGTGCTTTCCTGCTCCATGGAATGGGGTGGGTGGTCACTGGGGCAGGCCCTTGGGAAATTTTGTGTGTGTGTATATATAGGTACAAGTTTATGCTAGTATCTATATATATATATATGTATATGATATATATATATATAACCCTAAACCCTAAACCCAATGTTTCTCCCCTTGTTGGGGTTAGGAGGGTTTGAAGGCTGGGGCGCAGCCCAGGTCGTATTCAGGTGGCTTCCAAGGCATTGCACTCAGTGGGAAAGGTTACTCCACGGCCACCACTGAGCAAACAGCTGGGTCATCCTACCAAGAGTACAGCATTGTGGGGATGGAGGTCGGGTCAAACACCGTCTTCTACGACGCCTACCCGAACGAGCCTTGGACGGTCGTGAAGTACACAGTCAAGCTGGGGCGGGCTTCGTTTTACTATTCTTTGCTGATCCTCCTACCGACGGTACTCATCACCTACCTGTCCTTTGGGGTTTTCTTCATGTCCCATGAGGCACGGCTGTGTGCAAGAAGCAAAGCACTCGCCAACAGTGAATCCACAATGCGAGGCACATGAGGACTACAACGCAGCCATGTGTTCCATCAGACATGCAAAGTGCTCCTAAACCCTAAACCCTAAACCCTAAAAACCCCTTTAATCTGAGGGATGTTGCATGGTCCCTTAATATGGTCACCTTACCCTCTTTTAAGGAGTTCATGCAGTATGGGCTCCTGGGTTAGTAGGGTATACAGGGGGGGAGAGAAAAAAAGGGCTCCCCCTTTCAAGGGCCCTTTTTTAAGGGACTATGTATCCACCCGAAGATGTAAACCCCAAACCCTAAACCCTAAACCCGAAAGGCCCCCAAAATGGCCTGGACTACTCCGTGGATCTTTATGATCATCATCTTCCTTCAGTTTTTTCTAGGGTTTGTAGGGTCTTTGAGGGCTTCTCAAGGGTTTTCAGGGCTTCATCGCAGGGATTCTGTGAGATGTACTGCCTTTTTTCTTTAGGGTTTAGGATTGAGGGTTTAGGATTTAGGGTTTAGGGTTTAGGGTTTAGGGTTTAGGGTGAGCGGACTTCTTCGCAGGTCGGCGAGCGCCTCTCCTTCGGGATCACACTACTGCTGGTTGTCGAGGCCCAGGGAGGCTGCCCTAAACCCTAAACCCTAAACCTAAACCCTAAACCCTAAACCCTTAACCCTAAACCCTAAACCCTACAAGGGTAAGTTAAAGCTACGTTCGAAGTGGGGCTCCAGGTAAACCCCTAAAAAATGCTGTTTGAAATACAAGATGCACAATTCCTGTCTTGCCCTTCTATGAGAAGGAAGATAATTTCGGTTCTTCGTGGGGGGGGGGGGGGATTCTTAAGCAAATACCTTAAACCCTAAGCCCTAAGCCTTAAGCCCTAAGTCCTAAGCCCTAAACCCTAAATCCTAAACCCTAAACCCTAAACCCTAAACCAAGCAGAAAAGGCTTTCTATTTTGTATAGTTGGTGTTCCTAGGATGGGGGGGAGCATTGGGTCAGGGTTTCCTTGTGTTTCGCCATTCATGTCTTCGGTTTGGGGTTAGGGTCTAGGGTTTAGGGTTTAGGGTGGATGATGATGGTTCCTTGAAGACAGGTTTGTTCTTCCGAAACCCAGAATTGTGGCGAGCGAAGACCGATTTGCAAAACTTGTGGGTTTTGGGTTTTGGTAGAGCTTAGGGTTTAGGGTTTAGGGCTTATGCCCGAATCAGGCATCCAGGATTCAGATAACAAGGAGGTACAAGGCAAAAAACACAGCGTGAATCGGTATGCAAACTGAGCATTCTTGGACGTGCATACTTAGCAGCTACCTCGTGTCAGTTATGTTCGTTCCTTCCAAATCTTACTCTCAGTAGTAGTCTCACGCTGCCGGCTTGTTAAACTTTCGGGCCCTACCCAACCCAACCCAAGGTAACCGAACGTGCTCTTCAGACAAAGGGAAGAGAAATACTCTTCCCCCCCTTCCCCCTCCTAAAAGCGCCCGAATGAGAGGCTGTCCCCCCACCTCCCTCCACCCCCCCCC